ATTTTTTCCAATTATTTATCTGTAAAATCCTTTCTTGGCTCACAGGCCACAGAAATACAAGTGGTCCGGTCTGGCATGTGAGTGAGGTTTACCAAGCCAGAGACTTAACAATTAAGGTAAGAAGGTAAGAAGCAGACTAGAAAGAGTACTTACCATACTCTTATTCAACTGCTTAAGTCTGATTCCCTTAAGAGATACCTACATGTGTTGATAATACCTGTTGGTCTAAGAGTACTGCTTCTTAAAAGTATTAAAAGGAGATCCTTGTTATCTCAAACAGATAAACTTATGAGAATATCAGAAATGAATTGTAACAATAGTAAATCAGTGAAAAATATGATGGATTGCAACAATTATTATACATGAGTAATCACAGCACAATGTATCATTCCTTCTCTACCCTTCCTTCCTTCCTGATGTGAAGCCAAACTTCTATATTCTCATTTTGTATTAGATGAGTTATGCCTGTACTTCAAACATAACAATGGGACTAGATTTTAAGTTGTTTAAAAATTGAGCTCACTGCTTTTTGAAAATTTTAAGGTAATTTTATGATCAAAGAGACAATTCAATAAACTATGTATATAGTTAATACTGGACACACTCTTAAGATTTCAAAAACCTATCAACTCAATATTGAACAACAAATAAAAAAATATTAAGGCAGAATGTCAACATCTGACAAGCAGTCTCCATACATACAAACCATATGTGGTGAGGAAGGACTCCTTACCCCCAAGCCACTCCTTGTACCTTAGCTGTAGCTCAGGGGCAGGAACAGGCCTCCTTCTTCAATCACTTGCTGCGGCCATAAGCTGTAACCCAAGAAAACTTTAATACCAAATGAAAGTGTAACATTGCCCACAAAAGCTGGGTAACTATTTTACATGGTCTTGTTTCACACAGACAAAGCACAAAGACAACACTACAAAAGAGAGGAGGAGCTAAGGTGTTCAGGGAGGGCCTGAGACAGAAAACACTGACTTGGTCAGCTGACACCCATATACCTCCAAAAGGTATCTAAAAACAAACATTTTGTAGGCAGTACTTGCAGAATACCCTAAATTGCATCTAGAATAAACAAACTATGTATGGCCAGGTTTCCTAACCAAAAAAGCTTCAGTGAAGAGAAACACTTCACCTCCCAACCAAAAAACATACTGATTTCTACATTTTGAAAACTCAATTATCACTATACTTTTCTGTATCAAAATAAAACTAGGTAATAAGTTAAACTGCATCATAAAACTCTTTACAAACAACTTCAACTGGTTATATTAAACTGTACTATTTAATCTGCTTTTCAATGAAATTAAAGTACATACTAAACATAGAAACTGTTTTAACAAGAACTTACAATTTCCCAAGTAACTAGTTTTCTATTATAAAAACACAGAAGAGGATATATAAATGCTACTTTATTGCATCCATGTAGCATTAAGTTAGTTATTATTTAACCATTCTCATTTTAAAATTCTTGAGTGATGATCTCAGAAAAAAATATTTTCTCAGGCTTTTACATCAACTGTGATCATCTCATAAGCAAACACAGTAAGGCATGATAATTATCCTATACTATGTAATCAAAGAATATTTATGTGCTGTATGTATTTTCTCCTCAAAATTCTTCCTATATTCATTCCAGGTTTTCTAGGTTCTTCCATGGTGTGAAGTTATTGCTAGGTACTGGAAATCAGCTTTTACCTAAGTGAAATTAAATATCAATCTTGAAAATCTAATTACAAAGTGAAATCAGAGAATATCAGCCATTTTCCCAGACTCGCAGGAAGCAGCTCAGCAATCAGTATGAGAGAGCTCACCCACCTTCTCTCCTAGCCACCTCAAAGTTCCCAAGGCAGCGGGCCAGGTGGAGAGCACTCACCAACTCACAGGCAATCCTTTTCTTTTTCAGTTGTTAGAAAAGGTCTTCCTCTTACTGAGATGAGACTGGTAATATGAAGTCTTGGTCTTTGCAGCTATGTCTTTCCACATTACAGTCTTGGAATACTTTGTTTTCCAGTAGTGAATAAAACTCTTCTGATGCTATTTGATGTGGGGGCAATAGGATTTCAAAAATCTTTATTCTGCAAACTCATCTATAAATATGATCTACGCAAACATTTTTTCAAATGACTTGTCACCTTCAAAGCCCTGGTTTCACAATATCCATTACTTCACTGTGTCATTTTTGGAATGTACACTTTTACCTACTATTTATGTTAAAGTCAGAGTCGGAAGAATATAGAAATTACAACTTTTTTATACACACACAAAAAACACTCCATCTAAATGATACCTGCAAATAAAAGTTGTTTTGGGGTAGTCTAGTATCTATATCACAAATGCACAAATTAGCAAGTTGAATAAAAGCAGAGATTCATAACCAGTTCTCAATGAGAAAAGGATGACATTGAACTTGAGTGACTAAAATTTACATTAGAAAGTACTTTGGCTATCTACTACACCTTGGTATCTTTCCATGAGAACTCCCACAAGTGATTTTGCTATAGTGGAGATGTTGTCTTAACATGTATCTTTCTCTTTATGTAAAAATTCATTAAGCTCAATATTAAAGAGCACAAGCAGAGATCAATCAAAATAAAAATAATGGGGATACTTGGGGAGAATAAACATAGCCCCCCACCCCCAAAGAGTAGGAATGCTCTTCTGGCAGGCAAGAAACAGAACAGCTCTGGGAGTCTAAGAAAATGCTGGGCTACTGTCTCTTTATACCTGTTATAAAATTACCCATTTCCTCAATTCCAAGACACATACATGATTGGAGGAACAGTGAACGCTATCAAAGGGCCACAATGTTAAGCAAAATTTCCAAAATCTAAAAATGAAAGGTATGCAATTTAGAATTAAAGATTACAATAGCCTTCCTGCAGCCATAGCAACAACTGCCTCAGGTTGGAAATAGGTTTCCTCAGACCCTGCTAAATGAAGGTGGTCAAGCTAGTGTAGTGATAGTGTGAGCTAAACAAACCTAGTGTTAACTTTCATTCATACCCCCCAGTATTCATCCTAGTTAAAATACAATCTTCGTAAATAAAAAGCAATCAAATTGATCAACTGTACATCTCTGTGCTTGTTTCACATCTCCAACCAATTCAGAGATAAGTTTTTGAACAAAAAACATGACAAGTCTATTTGGGTCAAGGATCCCAAAACAATTTCAACACTTTTTTTTTTTTTTAATCTACTGCCACAGGTGCCTCCTCCTCCTGCCTTCTGGTAGTTTTTGATTATCTATAGTTTTTTTTTTTTTTTTTTTTGCCCTCTGTCCTAAGGCAAGAATTTCAAGGAAGGTATTCATCATTGTACCCAAAGGAAACTTAGCTTATCTGAAAGAGAATAAAATTGCATGCTCCTTGAAGATTGAATTGTGGGGTGTTACAGCATACAAACAATAACACCAGCAGCACGGTAAAACAAGTACATTTAATCAATATACTTGCAGCCTTGTCAATCAGAGCAGTCTTCATTTCAAAGGTTTATGGAATGAACAAGTATGTCTACACACTGCCTCTTCAGTGATCGCCTGCTACCTTCCTAAGACAAGGAAGGTAAACAACAGGAATTTCAGCAATTTCTGACATTTCCCTGGTTCCGTAACATTACCTAAAAAGCAGTTAAAGGGAAGGCTCCAGCAAGCTACACTTAATTAAAAATGTTTCTATTCTAACTTGCTTTCCTCCCCCATTGTTCCCATCCTTTTTAAGCACTAAATCCTACATAGTAGGGGGAGGGAGGCCAAGAAAGAGAGCCATCAAGAGGGTAAACAATACAATATTCTCTCAAACGCCGGGAGAGCAAGCTTGGGGACACAAAGGCATGCTTGACCAGCCTTCTCCGGACCTGATCAAATACTCCTGGTGTCTCTTCCCAGCTGAGCCTGTCGAAAGCCCACAATCTCCTCCTGCTCCAAGACTGCTCGTTTTTCCGTAAAAGCTTAGAACCATGGTCCCAGGCTTAAGTTCAAACAAACTTACGTTACTCTTAGAAAATAAACCAAAACCTGATTCAAACATAAAATGTGAAACATCCCTAGCGCTGTAGGGAAAAAAAAAAGCGACGTTTCCAAAGTTCAGATCAGGGACGACGATTACCATTTTATTGTAGCGGTAGGCTTGGAGGGAGAGAAGCATAAACCACACTCTACGTTACCGAATTCTCGGAAGAATGGGGATTTCGGCGACGACTTGAGGAGTGCCTGACCAGAACAGAGGATGAAGAGCTGCCTCCAGCCGCCGACCCCTGTCCTCCGCCGCGCCATCACCTGAAGTGAACGGGCTGCAGGTTCGCTTACCATCCCTCCAAATGTGAAAGCCCCTACCTCAAGATCAATCAAAAGCTGGGGGAGAAAAGTCTTCGCAAGGAGCAAGCAAGGCCACAACTTGGATGAATGAAACCGGGCTAAGGGCACCGGGAGCAGGATTTTCGCTAAAGTCAGAAAAAGAGAAGTCAAAGATTTTTTTTTTTTTTTAACGTGAGAGCGGTTACAGGCGAGTGGGGTGGATAACGGGCACAAACACGCTTTGGATGAAGGTTTTATTGAGCGCGGAGGTTCAGGGACGGCCGGCAGGCGGGCGATGCGGCAGGCAGGCGGGACGGAGCGGGCGGCGGGACCGACGACGAGCAGCTTCACGACGGGCGGGGCGGGCCGGGGCCGAGGCCGGGCGCTCGCGCGTGTCCTCCCGCGGGCCTTCCACTGGACTCCGCGGGCCGGGGCTGGTGCCGGTGGCCGCCCCGCCCCCCGCCCGCCCGCGAGGCACACCCTCCGCGGTCGCGCACACGCGCAGGCACACCCCCGCCTCCCGCGCGCACGCGGCCAGGCCGAGCGGGCCGGCCCACGCGCGCCCCTCCACCCGCCCGCCCACCCACCTACCCGCGGCCCTGGGCCCCTCCGAGCCGTGCCCGGGCGCGCGGGGAACGGCGGCCTAGCGGCGGCGGGGACACCCGCGCAGGAAGACGGGCTCTGAGGGAAGGTCACTCACCCGCTGCATGGCTTTCAGAATCAAAGCCAGCTCGTAGCGGGGCATTTCCGAACGCTCGGCGCGCGGAGCTCCACACGGAGCGAGCGTAGTCCCGGGACGCGGAGGGGCGGGGACCGGGAGGGCACCGGGCGGGGACGTGCGGGCCGACAACTGGGCCGAAAGGCTCCGGGGCGGCGAAAGCACACTCCGGCTGTGAGAGCCCGGGCTTTAAGGCTCGGCAGCTGCGCACACGGCGCGGCCCGCCTCCCTGGCGCGCCACGCCCCCTCCCGCGGATCCCGCGGGGCCCTTGCGGCCCCCACCCACCGCACCGCGGCTCTCCGCGCCCACCTCACCGGGACCCTCGTGCTGTTAGCGGCGACGATGCGGACCCAACCCCTAGAGGCTCACAGAGGCCTCCCCCAGCGCGCCCTCGGCCCGCCCCGTCCCCGAGGCCCCGCCCCCTCGCCGCGCCCTCTACCTACTGCTCTGGAACCGAGTGGAACTTTCCATTCCTTCGGCTCCTGGGCGGGGGAGCTTGTGCGCGTGCGCCAGGCTGCGGGTCTCGTCCTTGCGCGCGCCCCTGGCCCGCCACGCTTCTGAGGGGATCTCCCCCGGGAGAGCGGGTCTTGGCTCTGGACTGCACTCTCCAGGCCGCCTGCGGGGCTTCCGAGGCATGCCGCTTGGAGGGAGTCGGGGGCCCGCCACTCTCCTTCCGCAGCCGGTGGACTAGTGGAGATCATGGTCTGGCGGCACTGGCCCGCGGACCCCCTGCAGCGCGCGGTTGCAGTCCAGCCCCGTCTCGGGGCCGCTGCGTGACCTTGGGCGAGCAGCTTCTGCGGAAAGCGGGCAGGCACAAAAACCGCGGAGAACGCGCCTGGTGCAGACCTAGTGGGGGCGACGCGTGCGTTTGTTGTGCGCTCCTGGCCTGCCCCACGTGTTGTTGCGGCGGGAAGGCCAATACTTTGACTCTCCAGTATTCCTCAGATGTTTCCTCGGCCCATTGAAGGATAGGCTGAATTTAGCTACGGTCTCAGATTGAGAGCACGCCCCGGAGTAGACACAGGGGTCGGGAGGCTGGGCACTATCTGCAGTCCTCAAACCCTGGGAGGAGCAGGCAAGGTTCACCTCTGCCTGGAGCCATCGGTTGTGCTAAATGCCATTTTCATCACCTCCTCCCCTTTGCAAGATTGAGTGCCCTAGAACTGCCATCTCTGCCCCTTCCTTGTTCCATTAAAGGGGTCTGTAAGCAAAATACTTGTCAATCTTGAAGTGCTTTAATGATAATTGGTAAAACGTATTGAGCACTTCTCTGTGCCAGGCATGGGCCTAAGGCTGTTCTGTGTATCTCTAAATTCTCATAATAGCCCTGGGAAGCAAGGACTATTAACCCCATTTTAGGTATTCGGAAACACAGACACACAGATAACTAGTCCAAGGTCACACACATAGCAAAACTCACCCAGACTGTCCGAAGGTTGTGCCTGTACTTAGGTGGACACTACACTTTTGAGTTCCCAGACCAGTGATGGCGAAGCTTTTGGAGACCAAGTGCCAAACTGCAACTCAAAACCCACTTACTGCATAATGCCACTCTTCACTTTGACCTGAATACTGAGGTTTTGGTTTAAAAAAAAAAATTACACATTAATGACTTTTGTCTTAAAAATGCAGTAACACACGTGCCATAGATTCGCCACCACTGTGACCTAGACAGAGGTACTGGTGTAACTCAGCGGATTAACCATGTATTCCGAGTAAACCACAAATAGAGAATACTTTTGTCACCTTACCCAGAGGCCCTACCTTAATTTTAAATCTTCTTTCTCTATATTCCACAAAAGATGGGGAGCGTCATTAGAAAATAAGCTTTTCTGTGATTATCTGGATTTTAACATTTTCTGTTTTTAGACTTCGCAGCAACTCGTGCAGGTAGCAAATCCAAATTAATTAGTGTCAACTACCTTCACCTTTGTTAAAAGTAGCCTACTATAAAGAAGTGAGCCACAGATTTTCCTAGGATGGTCCCCATTTCAACTGTCCTTCCTATCGTCAATTACATGGCCCACTTTGGGAATAAGAAAATGAGAACTCAGCACTTGTATGCCAGGCCAAAGACTAAAGCTCCAGACTTCAACTTGGAGCACTTCCTCTTGGAAGCTCCACAATTTTTCCTAATACCCAGGGATGAGTGAAGATCTATCTGGCTTCTTCCTCTACCCCTCCCTCTAACTTAACAAGCAGCATAAGGGAAATAGCCTGATTGCATAAACCTCACTGGGGAGTCAGCACCCCAACCCCTCCCAAGCTACTGGCCACCCACAGACTCATTCCATTTCTTAAAAGAAAAAAGTAGACAGCTACCCTGACTTTTTTTTCCCTTCAATCTTTTTTTAATAAATTGTTGCTGGTGGCTTTTTTTTTTTTTTTAGCATAAACGCTGGTGCTTCATTACAAGATTTTTTCCTTACAAATCATGAAACATGCTGCTGCAAATGTAATGTCTTCCAATTGAAACTACAAACTTAACCAAAATAATTTTAACTTTATATAGCAGCATATAGAATTATAAAGCATTGCAGTATCAGTTTTTAAAGTGACTGCTTGTTAGGATCGCCAAAACATTTACTAAGATGGGTGTTCAAGATTTGATTAATCAGAAGTTTTGATTAATTTTTAAACAAGTTCTTCAGGGTGAGGGGATAGGCAAAAACAATAAAAGAAGTTGGAATCCTTGTGTATTAAAACAAAAAAACTTTAGAATATGCCCCAGGTGGGTTTAAGCACTGTACCTCCTTAGTTCCTATTTCTGAATAATGAGACTTGACCTTGAGCACACCATCGTTAATTCTTGAATGTAGCTGTTGTTTTTTATGACCAGATCTAACATTTTGAATATGCACTATAAGCCAGGACCCTTTGCAGGTGTATTGCATGTATTAACATTCACTTCTCACCACAAAGATGGATACTATCATTCCTCTCATTTTACACACAAGGAACATGAGACTTCATAACTTGCCCCAAATCATAGAGAACTCAGATCTGCATACCACCCATCTCACTGTTTACTTGCCAAACCCCATACCATATCTCTCAGTGTTTCCTGGCCAAAGCAAACCAAGCCACCACCCGTCATCTACAGACTATTATTGACCCCTTACTTTCCAGTGTCACACATGTGACAGGTGACTACAGTCTCCCACTTCTAGAATCCCTATCCGTGATCCCCTCTAACCCTAACCTCCCCTTTCAATCATATATAAATCTCCTAACCCTGTTACACTCTTAATTTGTCTTTTTTAACCACTTTCTCCAGCAGTGTCTAACCCCACTGGCTCTCCTCCAACCCATGTGGTCTGTGCTGCTCTGTGCCATCACCCCTGAACTGTTACCAGGCGGGTCCCACCGCCTGGTTGTCTTGAGGGTCTTTTCTTTGCTGTCCAGGACCCTGCACTTTGGAGTTTTTCTTCCCTTGTTGGTCCCCTTCACTGGCTCCTCTCCCTACTGTAACTGTTTTCCAAAGCAAGAAAATAGCCCAACAGCAAGGATTTAAGGGAGAACTGACACATAGTCTGAGTTCCTGTCATTCAAATGCATTTTCTTTTAGGCCTAAAGAACTTTCCTGCCCGGACCAGTCTACCTTAACAGTGGGCAGTGAAAAGTGAATAAAATGAATGCTCTCTCTGCCTGTTGATAAGAAATCTGATAAGAAAACAAAGTCAATAATTCATCCCAGGTCATATATACCTGTACTGGCAATACACACCCACACACACACACCCACACACACACACACACACAGACACACACACAGACGTACCCCTTTACCTTTTTTTACTAGGTTCTTTTTCTCAGTGTTCTTTACTAAGATGCTAGGTTTACTGTTCCTAATGAATTAATTCCCAAGAGGCATGATCTTCCTGCATCCTAAAAGCTCAGTTCTAAATATCACTGGGACGAAGTAAGATAAACTCACATCATTCAGCTTTTGTAGCCTGGTGTCTCTAAATACACACCTCAGAAAGTGGGAAAAAGAATGTTTTCAGTTAATGGAGAAAATGATCCCGAAGTAGAGCCAAATCGTATTTTAAGCTGCTAATCATCCCTCTCACCTGCCAGTCATCTCCCTGATGAAAAGGAGTCTCCATTTGCGACAAAGTGCACACCACCACACATCTCACTTCCCCTCACTTGGACCACTGGACTTGCCCTCACTTAGACCAGGGCTGAATCTCCCAGGATCTGTGTGTATAAAGCCCCTGTCTGGCTGCTCAGTGTGGACCTGTGTTTTTTAGTGCATGGCCCACCTGAAGTCACAACATTGCAAACTTACTTTAACTGTTTACTCATGAGCCCATAGTTATTCCCAGACCCCACACACCCCTTTTACCCCTTTGCCCACCCTTTGGGCCATATCCGCTTGCCTTTGCTTCTTTTTTTCTACTCAGTAAGCCTCTAGATATTACCTAGTTTTAGCTATCTAATTCAACTTGCATGTGTGTTCTTATGCGTTCCTCTGCAGAATGAAATAATTTGTGCCACATTTCATCTTAGGGCAGACATTTGAGGAGCTCTTTGAACATCTTCTCTCTTTTAATCCAGCAATATCCAAATTGTTTTTTGAAATCTTGATCAAGTAAGTTTGGTCGAGAGGTGAGGAAGAAAAAAATGGCAGGCAAAGGTTTCCAAAAAGTAATTTTTCTTTTCTTTCACTCTGTCTCATCCTCCCCTGTGTTAAAAAGAAAAGAAAAGAAAAGAAAAAGTTATATATTTTGCAAGCTATTCTTAGCCACTATCATTTTCAGGGAAGAGATTATATATATATATATATGTATATATATATATACATATATATATATGTATATATACATACATATATATATACATATGTATATATGTATATATATGTGTATATATATACGTATATATATATGTGTATATATATATATATATATATATATATGAGAGAGAGAGAGAGAAAAAGAGAGGTATTTTTTAATCTCTGACTTTAAAAGACAAAATACTTCCTGCATTCCCTCTTGCTGAGTTAGTTTTTCTTCTAAAAGTGTTGTAAAGTGTCCCCCAACAGCCTGTAGCTGAACCCACAAGGGTTCTTGATGTTAAATGTCAATAATGTTGGAGGTAAGAAGCAGCTTTATGTTTTTCCTGGATCAGTGTAAAAAGCCCAGAAGAACGCAGCCGAAGCGGTTTGGATTTTGTAAAAGGAACAAAGGCCACTAGGGAGAGGGTTACAGGCAGATGAAACAGCTTTGGCCAGGGTCTCCAGGGGGCGGAGCTTCCTGGGCCACCAGCTACACAAAGGCCCTCGGGAGGACCCGGGAAAATAAACCAAGAGGCGACAGGGGTGAGGGACAGAGGTGTGTGCAGGCCTAGCTAGCTGCCTCTTACCGAGGAGTTTTAGGGCTGGAGAAGAGAAGGCAGAAGGGCACATGGATGAAAGGCTCTTAGAGGGGCACGCGGGACGCAGATGGCAGTTCAGAGCGTGCGGTGCAGGCAGGCCAAAGACTGGTGAGTGGTGGTGAGGCTGAAGGAAGGCAGATCAATAGACAGAATCTGTGTTGGCAACTGATTGGAAGTTTGAGGGACGGAGGGGCAGCTAGCTTCCTGGCAAGTGGCAACTGCAGTCTTGAGTTCTTTTTCAAGAAACATTCCGCACCAACTTTCCTCGGTTCTGGCCCTAAAACTCCTTCTGATATTTCCTTAGCTCTTAAGTAAACCAAAGGCTCACATTACAATTCATTAATTGCCCAGATGGTTATCTTCATAAATCTTCATAGCAAGACTATAATTTTCGATGCACAGAAATGATGTCTTTTATTGCTCTAAATATTGCCTCCTTGAGGCTTTAACCAAGACAAGGAAAGGGTTAGTCCCACAGCCTGCAGTGGGTGCGGATCTCAAATGCCACCTACGAATGTTGGGAATGTTGGCGGATGGGTGTCATGACCACCAGTCAACACTTCCTTGTGAGGAGATCAATGTACAAGAATCCTCTCAAAGTCCAGCCCCTTGGTTTAGATTCATCCAGTCTCCTGTTGCTCAGGATGATTGGACCTGGCCTTGTTGTCCAATAGGAGAGAATGACCTCACAGTCAGGCTAGAATAGATATTATAAGGAGCAAATCCTTTAAGAGTCAAATTACATACATAATTTTGCAGTACACAGTGGCTCAGGGTCAACTTTGCCTTGACAAAACAAAATAGTGTCCTTGGTCTGAACTACTTTGGACTATTCTTTTATTAAGGAACAAGACAACAGATCATAAGAATATTTTGGAAGAGGCAGAATTCCATAAAGAACAAATCCAGGAAATAGATGATCATTTACAGTGGAGAAATCATCTCCTGTAAAATAAACCCTTCGAAAGACACTCTGAGGAAGGTTTATATACATTGTACAATTTAAATGTATTAGGTCAGTATGTGATATTTTAATATTATATAGCATATATTCTTTCCAAGTTGCTTACATTTTTTAAAAGATAAACCTCATAGTGACAATAATAACAGATATCTATGCTGTCTGAAAAAAGTCCCTTAGGAGCAATTAAAATTACAAGATAATTGGAAGCTATCAGATGATACCTCACACAATAAATCATCTCGAAGTTTCAGGCTAAGTTTATGGAAATCTTAGGAGAATACGCAGGGACTATCTTGGGAATTTAGTTTCCAACTTGAATAAAGTTCACATCACCAAGGAAACTTTAAATAACCATGTTAACCAGATGCTCCTCTACAATATTACTGCAAACAGGAAAAGTCACTTTAGACATAAACATCATTACATATAATGCTACTATGAAATGAGTCCTACCATGGGTTAACTTTCTGTAATAGTCACTTGCAAATGCTCCAATCTCCCCCACCCCTTTCTTCTTTGCTCTAGGCTTCTAGAATCGGGGACGATATTTCTCTTCAACCACATATTAGCTTGGTTGATACTGGAGAGCAACCAGACAAGACAATCTCCTGTTGTTGCTAATAATCAATGATTTAGAAGTGACATGTCCCTAAATGCAAGGCCAGTGCACTATCTGGCAACAGAGCAGGGCCATGCATCTGAAGGTAAGGAAACCCAGCCTCTGGCTTTGGGGATGGTCTGTAAATTTGATTCCAGCTGTGGGTGCACAGCTCTCTTTGGATTCGGTCTGGGAAAGTGCCAAGGAAGTAGAAACACCCTAAGATCAAGAACACTTCCTTCTGGTTCCTGCTTCACTGCTACTTACCTAGTTACTGTGAGGCATATTTCCCATGCTGTGAACAAAGGATCTCCTGATAATCCAATCCCAGTTCAAGGTCTCCCCAGCTTAAGTAACTCATGGACTCCCTATGCCCCTTCTCCAAAGGCCTTTACTTCTGTAGAGGCCCCTTCCCATCTCCATTCTTTGGCTGCTTCTGACCACATCATTGCACAGTGTTTGTACATCCCAGGGCTTCAGGTGCACTATCCCTCTCTGGCCTTTGCCCCTTGCAAGGAGCACATGCCCTGCCCTTCTCCTAGCCTACTCCTATGTTCTCCTTTTTTATTATAAGCTATATCATACAAACAGATACTGCATGAAACACATAGAGATATGTGTGAAACATAATTATTTAGCAGACAACCCAGACTTCCTTTCCATGCTTTTGTAGAAACACAATCTCTCCCCTCCCTTTTCTTGTCTTTGCTTTTCTTTATATAGTCTTATCTTATATAGATGCAATTCCTGCTTGTTTTTTAAGTGATGTCTGTCTTGCTTTCTCCTTTCAAATTATGAGATTCATCTAGATATTAAGTACAGCTTATTTTTGTTTCTGATACCATTCTATCATACAACTATGCTACTATCATTTCTACTGTTGATGGATATGGGTTGTTTATTTGGGAGTCAGTTATTACAAATACCACTTGGACCATCCTTGTACATGTAGACTTCTGTCTAGATGTGTGTGCATGAAGGTCTCTAAGGCCTGAACACAGGAATGGAATGCTATCATCCATGGAATGCAAAACGTTGGATTTTCCATGTAATTCCAAATGATTTCCCAAGGTAGCGGCACTGTTTTGTACTTTCACTAACAATGTATATGACTTTTCTAATTCTTAGGTTTCACCCACGATGCCTTAGAGGTCTACCCAAGACTGGCTCATCTGTTTTCCATTAGCATCTGTACCTCCTCCATCACTGCACTGATCATACCTTGTTGCATGCACACAGTAGATGTGAAAAGATGCTGCCCAGGTCCACAGTTGCTGTTCCTCTAGACACAAAATAACTTATTAAAGTTGAGGCCACATATCCCTCAGGGTGCTCCCAGTCAGTGACTGAACATAATGAATCAGGCTTTTTTCTATTATACACAAGATTACCCTGTAATAGGGTAACACACAGCTTAACAATAGGAAAGCAGAAAATGGGCAAAAAATCTGAACAGACATGTCACAAGTAAGTCAGCTATGGATGGCAGACAATCACTTGAAAAGGTGCTTAACATCACTGGTTTTAAGAAAATGCAAAAAAAAAAAAGCCAGGCGTGGTAGTGTACTCTTATAATCACAGCACTCAGGAGGCTGGGGCAGGAGGATCTCCCATCCATCAGTTTGAGAGCAGGCTAAGCTGCACAGTGAGTTCAAGGCTAGCCTGGACTACATAGCAAGACCCTGTCTCAAAAAACAAACAAAAAGAAAAGAAAATTAAAACTATAATGAGATACCACTACAGGCATTTTAGCGTGGTTGACACTAAAAAGACTCAACAGGTCAAAAGAACAAGTTTTAGACAGATGTAGCAACTGGAACATTCACATTCACTGCTGTTGAGAGTGTTAAATGATGTAGTCATTGTATCAATTTCATAAATGACATATCTATGTATACCATATGGTCTGACCATTCCACACTTACAAATTTACATAAAATGAAGCATGTGCCCATGCAATGTTCATAGAAACTTTATTTGTAGTAGTCAAAAACTGGAAACATAGTATACAAAATCAACTTTAAAAAATGCATAGCTTTTCTATAAACCAATAATGAATTAACCAATAATGAAATCAGGAAAACAATCCCATTAACAGCTTCCAAAAAAATAAAATACTATTATGATTTATAACTAAATGTCTCCTCAAGAGCTTCATACACTTA